TTTCGCTTCTATGGACACAAATGTTAATTTATAATTTAGTGTTTTATTAAAGATTAAAATTTTTTGTTTGCAGACATGACTCATTTTTATATCTCCAATAGCAGTCCTTAGTTTGATATATGTAGATTTACGTATAACCTGAGATATTTAAAATGATAAATTATTTAATTATTATCATTATTAATTATTATCAGTTAATTATATTTCGTAAATAGATTTTGAAGAAATGAACCCTATTATTTGTTGTTGTAATTGCCAGTAGAACGAAAATATTTTTGTGATACTTATCGATCTATTATAAACTAAGGGATATTACTCTTATCACAAAAGTAAAGACATTTCTTTGTAACCCGGCAGAAGCATTACCAATACTTTGTGTCTGAAGCCAATGACTGATAAGAAAATATTATCGGCTTTAGTTCACTTACAGTTTTTATTGCTTATGGATTATTAGTTTCTATCAAAACTAAGGGAACTATGTAATATGTTCACTATTACCAGAACATTAAACAGAACATTAAACATGTAAAAGAATTTTGTAAATAATTAATTTTAAAATAATAAAAATGTTAAAATATAGAAAAGTATATATCTGTATATATATAATACTTTTTATATGTTTACTGTACGTCGTGCACATCATTTAGATATTTTGTCGAGGGATTACATGTGCATTGAATATAAATTTGTCAGACCGCCAGACTTGTTGCCCTCCATAGTGGAGTCCCTTAATCAATCAAAGCTCGTGCTATTACACAGGACATATTCATTTGTATATTTTATGTTATACAATTTTAACTTGTAGAAATCAAGTTTTAATTTAAACGACTTTTTCCATTAACAAGTTATCACTCGATCTAAGCTTATCGAATTTGTAGATTTACTTAAATATTTCATTCAATTTTCTTGTAAATTTAATTATATACATTTTGTATTTCAATTAATTTATAATAATTTAATCAATGAAATTTTTATTCACAAATGCATATGAGTTTCATTCGCTGTATTTCGAACGATAGATTGTTCGCCCATAAGCAAAGTATCCGTTCATGTGAATATAATTGACACTTGAGATTGAGCATCAATTCATTCTATTCAATTATAGTATCTGCTTCGCCAGATGATACGGACGACTTGAACGTATCATTTAAGCAGTGTTCTTGCCGGATGATAAGTACGTGAATAACCCAGTTGCTGAACCAATTGAGAAGATTTTATGCCAAGCGTTAATTAAATTTAAAATTTCTATTTTTATCGATTTCTTAATTTTTTTTTAATAATTTTGGTGCAGGAAGAAGTGTGCGATGGTACATTTCAGGGAAAGTTTATTGCACGAGAAAATGAAATTTCCAACAAGTGACCAAAACAAAAATTCTTTAGTAATACGAATAAATACCAAGAATTTATTTTATGAAAAAATACATTTATTGGTTATAAAAATGATTACTTCAGACGTGGGGAGTATTGTGGCATTTCAGTTTTTTCAATTTATAATTACTATCTTATTTTATAAAAATTATTAAATTTTTATTAATTATTATTTTAAATATTATTGAAGATCTCTAACTCTTATATATCTGAGAAGAGCATCCTTATAACAATTGTTTAGAAGATTGACCTTGGTCAATACACACAATTCCTTGAGTTGTGTAATGTTTATAAAAGGAGTGGATTCATATACACGCACATACATGTGATATACTATTATATAGATAAATATGTTAAAGTGCGAGACTTTAACCAGCCAACATCTCCTCTGTTCACATGATGGTAACGTCTTGTCGGCTATTTCGTCCGTGGATCGTCATAAGCATTAATTCTCAATCTGTCAGTTTGTTAACAGTGTTCTTTGTCATTCGGTTATATTGTCCACTTTACAAACACATTCAATAGTTTACAATTCAGTCCATACTTTAGTCGCTAATTTGTTGACTACGTTCTATTTTTGAAGTGAATCAAATATTTCTTGTGTCAAGCTTGCAATACTTATTGGCGCCCGAAAATAAGCGTCATCTTTGCTCTTTCCACATTAAACATATACACATCTAAAAAAGAACTATTCTTCATTAAACTGTATTTGCTCTTGACGAAAAAGATAGAAATATTTGCTTGCCTAATTTGGTTTGGTTGTGCCTCCACCGCTTAACTACTTGGATGCATACATGCAGTATAATTATTCTTGTCTAGTGCTATAGCTGTCGCAGACTTAATCGAAAAGGGGCCAATGTCCGATAATGCAGTTTTTTTTCTGTGTCCCCCTTTTTGGTATTTTTTGTATATATTATTTATTTTATTTTATCTTTTCACTTCGAATTGTTGTTTTTATGTATCTGGTGCTCTTAGAATCAAGTACGCTATTGTTTGATACCAAAGTCAAACTATCCGTTGTGGTTTCCCCTTTTTATAATTTTTTTTAGTTTTTTACATAACCATTTCAATTCATTCCCAAAAGCCACACTGCTGCGCGCTCTATTTAACTCGCCGGCAGTTTCAGTTCGGCATGGTGAATCTATCTGCATATTTAAAGATGGGGCACAGGTAACGTTAAACTTCAATTTAATTTTCAATATTTTTTTTTAATTTTTGTATATTGTTTTGTTTTTTTTTTAAGTGCGGCGCAGTTATTTTTCTGACGTTGTGTCATATAAAGTCAGTGTCAGGTTGATGGTCAATTTGAGCGCATTTATGAGAAGTCGTCTTTGATTCTTGCTTGCCTCTTTCTTTGCGTTAAATTCAGTTCATTTAATTGCCCAGTTCAGAAATTCATAAAAATGGTTGATCTGCTGGTAGCAGGCGCAGCATTCTGTTTAGAAAAATAAAAACAATTTTTGATCTGATAAGGAAATCTCATAAGAATCATTACAAACAAAAATCTTCACTCAAGTCAATGAGCAATGTTTTCAATTTTACTGCTCACTCTCTTTTTCGCCCTCCTAATTTTTTACTCTATCATCAAAGCACGATCATTCAAAATAATCCTACTCATCAAATTAGCAACCCAGCATTATATTATAATTATATTAGATTGTAAAACCTAATTTTTTTTTAAATTCTCCTAAATAAAAAATTCAATTACTACATCACATTGTCTTTGACTTCCAAAAATATAAATTATATTGCAACGACCCCTGGACAACGGCTAAGTATACCTCAGCGTTATCAACGAACGAAAACGTGCCGTTACAGTAATTACATTTCAAATTAAAAAATTATTTACGTGCTAAGATATATTTCTTTACTTTCTGCCATTACATTTTTTACATCACATTCCATAGATCTGGTAAACATTCTTTCTTTCCTTTGAAAAATAATGTTTTCTAAAAGACTCTAAAATTATCTTCGCTAATTTCACCATTTATGGATCGTCATCAGACAAGTAACTAAAAAATCTCTTCCATCATGGATTACAAAACTTAAGTTGGTTAAAAGCTACGAAACTCTGCTAATTAACTTAACTCATATATATTAAGTAATCTTTTAAAATATGGGTACAGAGAGAGAAGATTTAAAGCTTTTTATGAGATAGCCTCTTCGTAAATAGCATTACTATCTTAAACCATTTAGAAGAAATTTTTGTAAAATCTTTGTTTGTTGCTTAAGCACTAACGTAATCCAAAAAGCTAATTTAACTAATAGAAATATTCATATGTGTGTTTGTTTATTTAAGTCTAAATGTACTACTGAAAACTACCTTAACTGCAAAAGCTCCTGTTAACTGTCATCTATCAATGATGAGTTCCAAGAATGCAATCACTTGTAGAATTTGTGAAATGCAAAGTTAAACAATCACAAAACTTACTTGTTTGTGTCGTACGGTTATTTCGAAATAATTCCAGCACATACATATATCCAAAATTTGGATAGTTCAACCAAAAGTGTTCCCTTGGAAATGTTCTAAATTTTCTAAAAGGATTACACAATAGATCTTGATAGCGATATAATATTGCCCCTTAGAATAAAATGTAATGATAAGATATCATTGAAAAACTTTTCTAATTAAATAAAAGTTTGAAAGCATATAATACACCAAATTATATACATATGTTTGGATTGTCAAGAGCTCGAAAATTGAGACAACTTATTTTGATATACAAGTACCTATATGTACTTTTAAATGTACAGTATGTTATGTGTTTGTTTACTTTCGATCATAGCTAAAATCCATTTAAATTTCATAATAAAATCTTATCATTCGTTCTTCTCTTCGAACGTTTACTTTGTTATTATTTGTCGGAGTGATAAGCATTTTCCAATATTTTCCACTTGTTTGCCATTTTTATTGATTTGCCTTTCTTTGTTCCTAATAAATTTGGTTGCCATGTGAATTTGCCTACTCGTAACGTCTCCAAGTTTCCATTGTCCGTGCACGTTTCTAAATTCTTGCATGTACATTCGTCTGTGCATAATTGGAAATTGGAGTACTGTCGAGCATTAGTGAAAAAAAACAGTCCATCATAAAAATGTTCTGTTACGTTAGGTCATGCTTATTAATTGGCCTATGTTTGCTGCCCATAGCTTGTGAACTTGTTTAACGGATAGATTCTACCAGCGGAGAGGTCCATTGTTCTTTAATGATTTGAACGTTGCCTTACATAAAAGCGATTCGTATTAAATGCAATGAACAGCGAAGAACTCTTTGCTCTTCCATTGGCCTGTCGGCGGTCTTTCTATTTGCCCATGTGCCTATGTGCCTATCTGTCTAAAGTATGCCTTGTCCGTTTGTGTTTATTATTCTTTTACATAAGGCACTGCATGAATTATAATTAATTCATGATTATTTATTCAGTAGAAATGCGTTTGTTTTATATGTCAACGTTCAACTTGACTTGTACGTGATCTTTTTTTTTAACAACAGGTTAAAACCATTTTAGGGTGAGCCGTTGCTGCGTATCTAATAGCATTGCTATCTGCAAGTTCACAGCACACATATTTTGACTTTATTTTATTGTTTAATTATTATCTCATGATTTTTGATTTTTCTTAATATTACTATATTTCAGTTCACAATCCAATGAACGTCAATTTTTGAAAGATTTTATAAGTGGCGCACCCGGTTCATCTGGCAGTCGTTTAGCTGCATGGTTGCAACCAGAATCGCGTTTAGATCCTAACAAGTAAGTTGTTTTATTTAGTTAAAATTTTTAATGAATTAAATAACTTAATCATTTCTTACAGGTGTGAATTAAATACGATAACAGAGTCCTTGCGTTATGGGTGGCCAACCCAGGTAACGGTTACCATTCGGGATCAGTACGGTGATGCAGTTTTAGTACCAGAATTAAAAGTATGAAATGATGCATAATAGAAATAATATTATTATCAGCACAATTTACCATATATTTAGGTTGAAATCAAAGCAATACCCACTGGATCTATAGGTAATGGTAATATTAAAATGCGTCGTGCTTCTTGCACAGATAATACTTCTTTTGGAGGTTTAGCACCACCACCTCGTTTTAATTATGAACCAACAATTAAGGAAAAAATGTGTTTCAAGGCCATAACTTTTATGAAGCCCTACAGTAATTACTCCTTTGAAGAACTACGTTTCTGTAGTCCTATACAGACCCGTATAACAGAAACATTGTACGCACAAGACATGGAGGATGGCACATTCAGTGTACATTGGACACCCAACTCTGTTGGTAGTTACTGTCTTACGGTAACAATAGATGGAATTTTGTTAGAAGAAGTGTATCGCGTTGAAGTTAAAGAAGGCGGTCTTCCTCCCCCTTCTCACAAACATACCATAAAAAAACCGCAGCCACCCAATAAATTACGAAAGTTTTTTTCTAAAAACACCGCTGGCTTGCGTATACGTTCACATCCTACTCTGCAGTCTGAGCAAGTGGGTATCATTGCTTTGAATGGCGTCATATCTTTTATTGATGAAATTGAGAATGATGATGGTATTTGGTTGCGTCTTTCAACTGAATCGATACGCCAGCATTGTACTATGGGTTGGTATCCTACAGAAGCTTGGTGCTTGCAATACAATCAACATTTGGGGAAAACTCTGCTTCATCCCGTTATCGAACAAAATTCAACAACCAACTCTTCTTCAAACAGTAGTAGCGGTAGTAATAAGTCACTTTCAAAACCACGTCATAAAGCTTTATTGGATAATATTGAGTCACCTGTTTCTCCAGCGTTATTGGACTCGCCATCAAAGCCAAAATCTACTTCGCCAAGTAAAAAAATATTTGACTTCTCACATTCTCGATTTACTCCACCAAAATCTACAGATAGCCAACCATCCTCAACAAATCCATTTTTATTTCCAAACCCTGACAGTCTGGAAAAATCTGAGACTGATTCCAGCATGAATGAAAGCGATATAAACAAAGTTTTCGATTTGGAAAGTTCATCTACTTGCAGTGATCCGCATTCACAAATCCAGCAACAACAAAGTCAAAGCCACAGTGAGTCACATGGCGATCTTTTATCTTTACAGGCCTTCCAAAGTACAAGTCCTTCTAATATTGGTTCAGCAATAGCTGGAGTAGTTGGTGGTGGGGCAAGTAAACTGCAGGCTCTTCAGAAATGGTTTAAAGGAGATTCAGAAGGTGGAAGCATTACTCAAGGAAGTACTATAAGCAGTCCCAGTAGAGAGCATTCATCTAAACGTACCGATGTGACTGAGATTGCATCAGTATCGGTACGCGAATTGGTTCGAGCTATGGGAGGACAGGAGCTCCGCAGTAATGGAAACAATGGATGCCAAATATCGCGTTCAAGTCCTGTCCAAATACCACCGGTAAATAAAAATACTGATTTAATAAGCACTTCGACAAAATCAAATGATGTACCGGAAAGCACTGCTATAGTTACTACTGATTCCAGCCCTACATCGAAAAGTTTTAATGATGAAATAACGGAAATAACAGCACCAGGTTTTGATATTGCAAATATACGTAAAACTAATTTTACACCAAGCCAAACAGCTGCATTACTCTCTACTCCAAAGCATACCCCTCGAAAAACTGTAGTGAAAAATGCGAACTCCCAATCAATACCCAATGCCTCTGCTGTTAAGGAATCGGACTTAACACAGTTGGAAGAAGAAATGAGCCTACTACAAATAACAACAACAACTGGCACAGATGGCACAACAACTGTACAAGATCAGATAACTTTTGGAGATACCAAAAATGCTAGTATCACAGCTAGCACTGATAATTCAAGTCCGCCCATTTGGCCAGCTTCGCTGAACACCAATAATTCATTTCAACAAAATGCTACCAAGCCTGTGACAAACAAGCGCACTACGATAGGACCAATAAAACGTGCAATGCCTCCTTCGTTAGCTGAAAGTATACGTGCGGTTTTCGCAGCATTTCTTTGGCACGAAGGTATTGTACACGATGCAATGGCATGTGCAAGTTTTCTCAAATTTCATCCGTCATTGCCAAAAGAGGGTGCCACTGTAGTGACAAGAAGAGACAATTCTGACTCTAAAATACAACTCTCACGTGAACAGAAAGCTCAACAAAGACACTCAGTAGAAGTTGCCAATGCCGGTAACTACCTGAACATACGTCCTTCAACACTAGAAACACTAACAAAGAGTGGAAACTCATCTATTAACAATCGTAAATATCGGAAAAATCTAACTAGTGATTATGGAGAAGGTTGTGAAAAGCAAATGTTGCATGCATTACCAGAAATAGTAACTGTTTTGCCACCAGCTTTACGTTGTCTAGTATTTTTGTGGGAGCAGATTTGTGCGAGTTGTGTACAGATTGTTCAGTCTAACACATTAGAACGCCAAAAAATGAATTCGCCTAATCGGGATGGAAATATGGAGGCTAAAGAAAAACTTGAAATTGGCGAAAAGGAAACAAAGAAGATCAAAAGAAAGAAGAAAGAAGACGGTTCATGGTGTGAAATTTGTGAAGTTTTCTTACCAATTCCAGTAACATACCATATGCGAATCGTGCATCCTGGTTGTGGAAAGTCAGCAAAAGGTAAAGGTTACAATTCAGTAGGAATATTTTGCGAAGGTTGGGCAGGTAATTGTGGGGAAGGCGGAAAGGGCGCATCAAGTTGGTTTTTGATGTGCGACAATTGTCGTGAGAAATATGTTTCAACGAATAAGAATACAAATAACGTAAACAACACACCCAATGTTGGAGTTTCTGGTATCTGCTTTTCATTGTATTAAATCTATAATTGTTTACAGTATTGATATCTTTCAGGTTTAGCTAGTGACATCAATATATTCGGTGTAAAGTCCACAACTCTTATAGCAAACTCAGAAGTCTACACAACAATGCGCGAAAATGCTACCTTTCTTTTGGAACTATCTTCAAGTGCAGCTTCTTTACCCAACAGTTTAGCAGCAAGTGGACCAAATAACTTGCTTAGTTCTTCAAGTAAACGCTCTCCTCAACAGATGCCTGTTGTTATTGAGCATCAACACTTTAACATGTGCGATTTGAATAAGCCGAGTACGAGCCGGGGAGACTCGGCGAGGAACAATCGCGTTAGTTTAAGAATGGGTGCCAAATTTTCAAGTAATAGTAATAGTAATAGTAATAGTAATAGTAATAGTAATAGTAATAGTAATAGTAATAGTAATAGTAATAGTAATAGTAATAGTAATAGTAATAGTAATAGTAATAGTAATAGTAATAGTAATAGTAATAGTAATAGTAATAGCAATAGTAATAGTAATAGTAAAGTAGTAATAATATAAATAGTAATAGTAATAGTAATAGTAATAGTAATAGTAATAGTAATAGTAATAGTAATAGTAATAGTAATAGTAATAGTAATAGTAATAGTAATAGTAATAGTAATAGTAATAGTAATAGTAATAGTAATAGTAATAGTAATAGTAATAGTAATAGTAATAGTAATAGTAATAGTAATAGTAATAGTAATAGTAATAGTAATAGTAATAGTAATAGTAATAGTAATAGTAATAGTAATGAATGGTTTTATAGTTTTCCTTTAATAAAATTATTAAATATTTCAGACTCAACGCCTTTTCGTAAAAGTTTTATAGGTGCAGCAACATCACCTGATCAAGCTTGGTTGCCACCTGAAACTTTCGCATGTTTGGAGTCATTAGCTGCAGTAAATAATGAGGATTTACCATATGAAATGTTTGGAGTAAACACAACCGAAGGTGCTTTCGATAGGGTATGATCAATAACTATAAGTAATAATTGTATATATTAAAAATGATTTTTTTAGCCTCTCTCTGAAATCTCATATGAATCATGCGATCCAAGTAATTATGAGATGATGACCGGCTCTATGACAACGCAGTCGGGTGCAACATGTACAACTCAATCGAAATTTCATCGCAGTTTTTCAATGGGTCAAGGTTGGGCCATAGCACAACAGCAGACTAACTTTAACCTCAAGGGGTATTCGGGTGCAGTTGATGAAAATCAACAACCAAAAGTGGTATTCAGACGTCGTAATAATTCTACAAGTGAAGGTGACGGGTCTCTACTTATCTGCTATCCTTCTGAAAATTTACGAAGACTGGTCCCCGAAAATCTTTTAACGACGTCTGTAATGCATGTAGCAGCACAACGTGTGGCAGCTGCTGCGAATTTAACTGCTGGTGATAGCAATGATGTTAAATGTCATAATGCCAATGACCATCAAAGTAATGATGTCAACGTAAAAAAAGATCAGAAGCAAAGCTTACCCACAGCGCCTTTAGATGGAAATGCTAAAGATTTTGTGTTTCCCAGCAATACGCTTTCGAATGATAAAGAACAACATAGCCCGGCGGAAGGTGAGGTGTCAGCCCAAGTAAGTGTTTTACTTGGCAGGCCAGCAATGGCTTTCATCATGCAAAAACATGATCTGGAAAAGCTGAAGTTTGCTATGAAAAGAAGTTTGCGTATTGCTACGTGTAGAATTTATTCACTTCAAGCACTTAACTGGTTAATACGGTCAGTGACTCAGAGTGTGTGTTTGCATGATTTGATGTGGTGGTTCGTGAGTTCGCTTAATGTATCAACCACTGAAATGGTCGATGGAAAATATGATGAATCTGAGCCTGCCTTAGAACATCCTATATCCTATACGCAAATCAGTGGTAGACTTTCCCATATGATCACACAGAGCTTACATGTATTTTTACAATCTGTGGCTGATTTAACTTTGTATTTACCAATGGGGTCACCACTGCAACGTATCGCTATACAGTGTTTCGGAATACGTTTCAGGCAGACAGACCATCAATTCTTACACAGCTCTCATGTATTTGGAAATATATCGAAAATTCTGTCTAAATCTGATGAACAAAATGATGCACTTGCAGTTTCAACTATGGCAACTGGTGGTGACGGCACTATAGGTCATGACACTGAACATAATCTTCAGTGTGTAGGGAGCAATAATGGCACCACAGGAAGTGCTGGTGCAAAAATAGTTCAATATACTGATCTTAATGGCGTGTTTGAAATTACAGTCTCATCTCGTCAAGCTATGGCAGAATCGCTAACAGATAACTCGACAGAAACATTTTGGGAAAGCGACGAAGAAGACCGAAATAAGTGTAAAATAATTGAAATATCGATGAACAAGTTTACTTATGCTTGTAAAATGGTATTGGTGCATATTGATAACAGTCGAGATATACAAGTAATTATAGTATATGATATATAATATAGGCATTAACTGGATTTTTATTTCTATTTAATCACAGAACAAAGTGCTTAATGTTGTATTCTATGCTGGCCAATCACTGGGCGACACAAACCTTATTAAATCTGTCGATGTAGATCAAAAAGCATGTGCTTGGATTTCGGCTAAAATATCCGATGATAGCTATACGCATTTTAGGTTGGAGTTCCATGGACCAGAAAACACATTAAGAGTGCGGCAAATAAAACTGTTGGGGTTACCAATTGCAATGAATAGTATTGACGAAGAGTTGGGTAAAGACTACTTTGGTGTGAATAGTTCAGCAAATACTGCTCACGTGCATTCTTTGAAATCAAATCTAAAATTAGCAAATGCTACACGCATACAGCAGCAAATATGTGAAGCGGAAACATTACGTGTTTTCCGCTTGATTACAGGTAAACAATGATTTTAACAATAAATGTTACGGAAGGCTATTATTTTTTTTTTCATTCACTTAATAATTTTAGGTCAAGTCTTTGGAAAGCTCATAAGCACTGCTGCCATCGACGTTAATAAGTTAGATGAAAGTCGGCAACAATCTGTGCTTGGCATGGATAGCAGTGGTAATTCAATTCTTGCAGATTCTTTAGATTTACGTGAACATATGGTGGGAATTCTTTTCTCCCGAAGCAAACTGTCACACCTGCAGAAGCAAGTTATAGTACATATTGTACACGCTATAAGAAAAGAGGCGCAACGAGCAAAAGAAGATTGGGAAATTGTGAACTTAGCCAATAGTTTTAAAGACACCCAAATTAATACAGCTTCTGCAACATCTAATGGTGAATCCAAAAGTGAAAGTAGCTCGGAACGTTACCGCGCCCCAGATACTTACTGTTTTGAAATGCTTAGTATGGTCCTCGCATTATCGGGCAGTGTCGTAGGACGTTCTTATTTATCATATCAGCATGGGCTACTAAAGGATCTGCTCAGTTTATTGCACACTGGTAGCGACCGTGTGCAAAGACAAGTTACAGCACTACTACGTCGTATATTACCAGAAATATCACCAGATAGCTTTGCAGAAATACTAGGTGTGCAACGGTTACCACCCACAGATTACAATATTGTGCATCAAAGTTCATTAGATTTCGACATGAATCGCTTAGGATTATTAGATATATTTTTATCTGTAATTGCAAAATCATTACAATTACAAGTCAAAGTAAAGACTACTACAGCAAAATCTAATCTTGAAAAGACACCCTCTTTTATACGTTTGTGTAACTCTTTGGATTTGTCTGTTCATCTCTTAAAGCAAACTTCAAAATCTGGAACTGATGAAATCAATTTAGCGTCAACTGACACACGTGATTATTTAAGAGCTCATCCATTTCGTTTTGATCACACTACTACAACAAACATAGGACAGCAATCAGATACTGCTGATTTTAGTTACAATCGTTTTAATCTCAAAAATTCACGAAAAGAACCAAAAAAAAATTTAAATCAACGTTGGTTTTTAAATGGGGTCATATCTACCAAGCAAGCGGAGAGTATTATAAACTTGATAAGGGATTTGGTTAGTGTAAGTAGCTAAACGAATAGAGAAACCTTTATTAACTAATTAGATTACAAAAATTAACAACACATACGTTTTTGAAACATTAGGGTAAGCTAAGTGAAAAATGGTCACAAATTACGAAAGCAGCTATTGCGGAATCTGTTCTGAACTTAACTCGCTTAGATGAGGTATTCCGAAGCCCGGAGAATGGTATCAAGACAGCCACACTTTGGCTGGCCCTTGCAAGTTTGTGTGTACTGGATCGAGATCATGTGGAAAAGCTTTCCTCTGGACAGTGGTCTAAAGTTTCAGATACTAGACCAATGTGCAACAACCATGATGATGGTGAAACATCTGCTATTATACAATGCGAGACTTGTGGCTCGCTCTGTGGCGACTGCGATAGATTTTTACATTTGAACCGCAAGACACGCACTCATAAGAGAACCGTAAGCAAATAAATAATAAAAATATACAATTCAATTGGATTTGAATTATGGTTAATAAATAGGTATGTAAAGAAGAGGAAGAAGCAATTCGTGTGGAATTGCATGAATCTTGCGGCCGCACCAAATTATTTTGGCTATTGGCATTAGCGGACTCAAAAACTCTCAAGGCAATGGTGGAATTTAGAGATGGTAGTCATACAATTATATCTGGACCACAAGAAGCTGTAGGGCGTTGTCGATTTTGTGGTGTTAGAGGAAATTCTGGTTTGTTGGCATATGGTAATGTATGCGCCGATGCACAGTGTCAAGAATATGCGAGTAGCTCATGCATGAAAACGAAACCTTGTGGACATGCTTGTGGCGGAATTAAAAATGAGAAGAAATGCCTGCCCTGCTTACAGCATGTCTGCCACGCAGAAGAAAATCGAATTGCTGAGGAGTTGCAGGAACCCAAACTAACGCAGGATGCAGACGATATGTGCATGATATGTTTTGTAGAAGCATTGTCTTGTGCACCATCAATACACGTAATTCAAAAATAAATAAAATTTTTAAAAAATAAAATAATTAATTTGGCATCTTTATTGGTTACTTTTCAGCTCGATTGTGGTCATGTGTTTCACTTTCACTGCTGCAAGGCGGTGCTCGAAAAACGTTGGTCAGGTTCACGAATTACTTTCGGTTTTTCACTTTGTCCTATTTGCAAAGCGGATATTCAGCATACACTTTTGGCGGATATACTAGCACCAATTAATGCATTAAAGCAGGATGTGAAGCGCAAAGCAATTATGCGGTAATGTAGACTAAATACTTAAGAAGAAATGTTTTTATTATGCTTTAACTTTAATCTGTAGACTTAAATATGAAGGCGTTGTTAAAGAAACCGATTCCAAAGATGTAACCAATCTGGCCATGGATCGGTATGCTTATTATGTTTGTTTCAAATGTCAAAAGGCTTATTATGGTGGCGAAGCGCGCTGCGATGTAGAAGTGGGTGAAAAGTTCAATCCTGAGGAACTTGTGTGTGGTGGCTGTTCGGATGTTGCACGCGCACAGATGTGCCTCAAGCATGGTACAGACTTCTTGGAGTATAAATGTCGTTATTGCTGTTCGGTGGCGGTATTTTTTTGTTTTGGCACAACGCACTTCTGCGATACTTGTCATGATGATTTTCAACGATTAACGAACATACCCAAAAATAAGTTACCACAGTGTCCAGCTGGACCAAAGGCAAAACAACTTTTAGGCGATGAATGTCCTTTGCACGTTATACATCCACCTACTGGTGAAGAATTCGCATTAGGATGTGGTGTGTGCCGTAACGCCCAAACATTTTAGCATGATGCTTACTACCTTGATGTAGACGAGTTGGTGGAAGTAAAACTATTCAATTTAGATAACGAGAAGTGTCTACGATATAGTTATACTGATAACGAAAGTTGTTAGATTGCAAGAAAGAAAATTAAAGCAAATCTATTGTCACTGATGCTGGTGGTGAACTATTTACTTTTTATTTTTAATGTACTTACATCATATATATGTGTCTATGTCTTCTAAATACTCGTAGAATACTCACAGTTTTTATCAAATACTCAATAGAAAAATATTCCTATTGCAATATTTACCTAATCAAACTCATCAATAACAAGTTTTAGTTATAGTACGTTTTCACTTATACATTTAAATAATTAATAAAAATAATTTAAGTACTTTAAGTACGAAGTACACAACCATAGTAATTGGCTTTTATTGAGAAGAAGATGAAACTTATTATAAGTTGAGATGTTAATAGCAAGCAAATTAATGAATATTGAATATCGGATGAATAAATGCTTGCGCCCAAAGCCGAGTGATGGCAAGTATGTAAGCTGAGTGATTCGTTCAGAATGTCTAATGCACATTGATGAAAGTGTATAGGACAGGCGGTATCTTCTTTAATGCATTAAAAATATTATGTTTACAAATAATTATTTTTATTTTCTTCAAATTTAAATCAAAAACTGAAAATATAATATTAGGTTGTTTTATTTTTTGCTTGTCTTCGTTAACATCCAGGTCAAAATTTTATAAAATAAAACGTTGGAACTTTGATGTTGCTTTCATGAGTTTATTTTTAAAATATTTTTGTTTAAGTAAATAAAAAATTAAAAAGTTATATTTAAAAATTTTGCGATGTTATTGCACGTACAATGAATGAATCTTTGCCCAAATATTTTCACATATCCTTAGTATATAGCACAATTCTTATGCAACTTAAAACCGTCAACATTGTTTTATATTTTTAATAAATATTTTGTTTAAATATTTTTACTTTAAAAAGAAAATACATAAGCTATTATAATATTTTTATATAAGAATTTAATCAAAAAATAATTAAATTGTATTTAACTAATGGGTCTTCCTCGCTCTTACTCGATAACGTCAATACAGATTTATGCTGGAGTCTCAGGGGCGTGTTCCTAAAATTTTAAATAATGTTTATACAATATTTTCTTTCAGAAATTCAATAACGGAATAGAGGAATAATGTGGGAAAACATGCTGAAGTGGTAAGGATCAGCAGAAAAACATCAATAATCCGCAGTATAAAAGAAGAAAAGTGGTATATGTGCAAGATCTGAATATGCCTTAGTAACTAAAAACACCTCATATGGTGCAGTGTTATGAAGAGATAACCGAGAGTAGTTGTCTATGATGAATATTTAAATGAGCTTGTGTCGTTATGTACTGGATATATTTATTTATTTTACTTTTTAATTCATAAATCTTATGTTTTGCCATGCATTTAGGGGTTGAACATATGTGGGTAACTCCTTTCATTTCAGGTAAAAATGTGGAGGGAAAAAACGAGACAGTGTTTAATTTTTTTTGGTGTTGTATCTTTTTTAATTATTATATTTCAATTATATTACAATTTAAAAAATTTTATTTTTATTGATTTTTTGTTAAAACAATTTTTTGTTTCGTGTTATGTTCGTAGGCAACAGGCAAGATTGTTGCTTCATTGAACACACAGATTATTTAATGCAAAGGAAATAAATTAATAATAAAAAATTACTTTAATAATATATTTATAAATAATGACATTTAAATTCGTAATTTAACATGGATGATGTTTTGTTTTCAATTTTGGTTTTGTTTTTGTTTTTGTTGTTGTTGATGTTGGATATTTACGAACAAATGATAATTTATACATATATGTAAGGGCGGGAGTCATGGGTCAAGGACACTTCTTAAGCATCGACTTCAACTTCTTCCTTTACCTTAGCATCACCAGGTTTGCCCTTGGACCAGTCGGGTTTCTTCTGCAATTTTAAAAAATAAAGAAAATAATTATAGTTTTGCAATTTGTTTAGAATTAGAAGGTACACACTAAAATCTATAAGAACATTCATGCACATTGCGGGAAGAAGACATAAAATCTATTACATAAAGTTGCAAATTTGTATACACTGTGAAAAATACGAAAATATTTGGTTGTCACATTGATTTCAGAACGGACGACTGAACTCTAAAATGCATGTGCGAGGGTTCCACAATACTTAATGACCTCTTTGAAATAGAAATCAATGAGTATGCAACTCCGAGATACATTATAGTAGAGTAAAAAGTAATGTTGATACTGACAATTGTACGCTATATGACAGTTTTTATGTAGATATTCGATCTTACTAACTTTTATATTTACAACAATTTTTGTAGCAACATATTTATAAGAAAAAATTTTTGGATTATATTGTTTTCGATGTTATAGTCATCAACAGGTTCTAGGATCGGCTGTGTCTACCTCCTGAACCCTTTAATATTCCTAGCTGACCAAGTACTACTCTTTCTTTCCAATAACTTATAAAGTACGTAGGATCATATCCACGTTTTATGCTGTATATGTCGAATTTATACAGTTGTTGCTTTTAAAAATTTTTATCAAAATTTTGATGCCTTTTGGTAATTGATACACAGCAGCTTAATCAATACTTCTAATATGTTCGTAAATTAAAATTTTTGTTTAAATCATATAGAAAATAAACAGACTAGACTAATAGACTAATAAAACTGGTTTCCGCTTTTCATATCGTGTTGGAACTCTTTTTATAAACAGTTGCAATCAAAGACTTCTTAAATAAACTCGGGTCATAGTACTTTTATGACGTGGAGTATCTCAGAAGATCAAATCCGAAATACGTTAACCAAATAGAATTTCTTTAAGTTTTGTGAAGATCGTTAGAGATATTTCAAAGAGACCCCATTCAGTGAGCGTTCTCGGTCACAGCATTTGAGTTCAAGTGTTTGACATATAACAGATATGTATGTATGTGATACAGATATTAATGCCAAGATTAGGTTTTTTTAAAGACAGTGCAGTGCACAAATGTGCCGTTTGCATAAAATCCTCATACAAACGTGTGACATGCATGCGACAATACTACGTGTGCACATAAATTTTCTTACACTTTTTGGCTTGTTTTAATTGAGCATCTTTTATCTTTTTCTAGTTCGTAGAAGTAGAAGTAGAAAGTAAGCGTAGAGAAAGAAAAAAAAAGCATTATAAAAATAACAATTACTTATAATACAAATAAATTGATTCATTTTAATATATTTATGCTTATGATGATATATAGATATAAATATGCGAACTTAGCTTTACAGCTTTTTCAGCTGATTTTTAAATCATATAAAATTGATATTTTAGAGTTTCAACTGTATAACTTTGCTTATATAAATATTATAAACTATAATCGATAATTGTATTAATAATAATGTGATATATGCAATAAAATCAATATCACTCGAATAATACTACAATTTACAATTGAAAATAACAAATTGTTTTTAAAGCTTACCTCCTTCTCTTCTTCTTCCAATGTAAATTCCTTCTTCTTGACAACCTTAAGTTGATTACGGAAGTTGAATTCGGCGGCCTTCTTTTGCAGCTTGGCAAATTTATTTTCATATTTGGAAACCTTCTTCAAAGCTGGTTTGACGCTGAAAATGATAAGGACGTATAAATTATTCATTTGATTTAACATAAATTTTAAATAAGTTAACACTTACAATTTACCACGAAGATCGTTAACTTGAGCATTGAGATCGTTGATCTATATTATAGATAATAAAATGAATAATGTTTAGTTTTAGATATCGCAGAGAATATAAAAGACAGGTTCAAATACACAAATTGTGTATAAATTATAAAGATCAGAGAATGCGCTTTGTCATAATTTGACACACTCCTCTTTATCAAAATCAAAGTTTAAACACTCTGAAGAGGCAACGGAAATTAATTTAAGTATTTTATTAACAGAAAGAAAACGTATGTTTAGTTATATTTGCAAAAGGTTACAATACAATAACTTCAAATTTTTAGGACTACAAGTCTACCATATTTGGTTAATATTTATTACATATCAGCATAATTTTAAATTATCGTGCAGGAAGCTATATATAAGTTATGTTGAGGTTATGTTAGGACTGCAAATGGTTGTATATAAGATTTTAGTTTTAATTCAGCACTTAATTATATATATATATATATATATATATAATGTTATTAATTATTTTAAATATATTTAATTATATATATATATATATTATGGGAGATATTATTACATAATTGACCATTCATGTACAATATGAACACATTTCACAATATATTGCATGCATGTAAAAATTATAGTCTGCTTTTGGGCTCCAAGAAATATTAATTTCAAATAATATTTTAGGCATTTTATTAATTTTAAACTACGAAAATACACTACTATTATCTACATTCTTGTTTGGTTTTGGTATTATAGGTTGAAGGTGTGTGAACAACATAACATCCAAAGGTCGATTGTAATATAGTTGTAAATATAATTTAACGTCTGCACTTAAATTCTGAGAACATTAAAATAATTTCTCTTTAGTAAACAATTAACTACACATAAGGGAGCTTACGAGGTACTGCACAGTATGGCACAACACTTTCTTCTTGTCTTATGACATATACACAATAAATCATAGCAATTAAGATCCATTTTGTTCTTTTAGTTTAAACTTTTAGATTAAACTTATTTTGTGGCATGTGTGTGTATAATATGTTTTATTTAATTTTTAAATTATACTTAATATTAATTATGCTTGTGTTTTTTACTTGTTATCTTTTTAAGCTAAATTAATTTCTTAATTAATTTCAGTTTAAAATATATATAAAAGTGACTTAGTTATATATAAAAGCACAACATTTTTTGTGTACTTTGTGTGAAAGCATTGGAATGATGACCACACGATCTTTTTTGTTTTTTCGCCAGTAAACCATATTTTTGATTTTAATTTCCATTCATTCACAAGAGCTTTTTATACAAATAGTGTGGTTAGATTGTTAGAGAATTGTTATAATTTATTTTTTAATGACATTTTATTAGAGCTTTTCAGAATTATTATTTATATATAGAAACATATTTTAATAGAGAAATTTGTCTGCAGATGTATATATAACTATTTATTTATACAAATTGAATTAGCAAATTAAGATAAAAAAGTTTATAGTTTATAGCGGAATTAGTGAGCAGAAACTTTTAGAGAATTTAGTTGAAGGGATTAATTGTTTCATATTATAAAATATAATTTTTAATACATATTAAAAAATTTTAATTATTTAAGTGATTTATGTTTATTTAAAACCGTTGCACAAACTTTTCACGTTGATAAAATTTAGTTTCAACTTTCTCGATTAAAGTTGAGTGTTAATTTCTTTCTCATTAACCCAAAGCTCATTAAATAGATTTGCGTTACAAAAACTCCCCGTAATTTTAAATATGCCAATTTAATTCCCGTGTATGTAAGTGCCATACTGTTACTTAACTACGTCTTATTTTATTTTCAGTTGTTCATTATATAATTTTCAGTGTTTTTCAAACTATTTCAACTCAAAACATAAATATATTTATTTATTAAATATCATTTTTAAACAATTTAAGTTTTAATCGACGTTTGGTTGTTATTTTGTCCTTTTAAATAATTCAATTATTTAAAAAAATTGTTTGTGCACTGAAAGAAAATTTTATACATTAAACATTTAAGTTGTAGTAATAATGTTGGGTTTTTGGATTGAAAGTCAAAGAAAATATTTACAATGAGTGCAAAATGCTTTGATTTGGTATTAAATTGTAATTATACAGAGTACAACTTAAAATAAATTTCGTAATTTAGTGCGTTGTATTATTGTGGTTTTTGTGCATATTGACTGCGTGCAAAGTCCAAAAGGTGCGGGGTGCAAAAAGTGCAGTAAATTTGTTTAACTATACAAATAATTTGTTTTGAGGCTAAACGAACATTAAAAATTATTGTTTTGATTTGTTGTCTTCATTAAAATGTCAACCAACTAGAATAATTTAACTAATTTCAACGTTTATCTATGTGGAAAGTTTTAAGTTATTAAGTGAATTATTAATATGGAATTAAGAACAAATAAAAAACACAAAACATAATTGTAAACTTGCAAAATTACTTTCAAAGTAGTTACAAAAACAATTAAGTAAAGAATATCATAATTATTTATTTTTTTTCATTATATTAATTGAAATTTTTTTTTTCTGATTAAATAAAGAAAATTCCATTTGTGTTAAAATTCAGATCAAGTCTTTCTTTGATTTTTTTAACAATTTTTTTCAGTGTAAATTTTTAACGAATAATCGAAAAATTGAAAATGGTTGTGAAAAGTTATCGATTTGTCGCTCGAAAGACATTGATTGTATGAATGTTACTGATAATCAACCATATATCTGTCGGAATATATATATGTGTAACAATGTAATGATACATAAATCTTTTAGATGAAAAATGCTTCCTGGGGTGATTTTAGTAATTAAACTGCAAATATTCGACTTATGCAGTTGAATTCTCTTATTTTAAAAGTAAAAGTAAAAGTTAAATGTTTAGTTATTATTAGAGACCTAATGTGATCACTTTAATACTTTACGATAACTCCTAATTTTTTATGAGATTAAAAGACAGTTAAATTGAATAGCTTATTAAACTATAAATTCGTCAACTAATACGTATCACTAATTAAATTTCAAATTATATATCCTTTACACTACTTTATGTTAAAAATAGTAATTTTTAACATAACATATGTATATGTTAGTGTTATCGATTACCGACATAAATACGTAAATGAAAAATATTGAATTCTTCATTACAATTTAATGTTAAATGTCAAATATAAAAGTCTACCTATGTTGCTTGAATTGAATTGGAATCTACGATATCATGAATTAATCATGAGATATATGGATTTGTTTATTCTTAGATTTCTTAACTCTATAGAATTTTCTTGACCCTATTGTGTACTGACAATATTTCATTGAATTAATACAGTTAAAGATCTAAGACCTAGTGCAATAGAGTTTCTTTTCATGAAACATAATTCAATCTCTAGTTATTTGTTGTTCGTATAACAGTTTAGCGGAGAAAAACAATATATGGCTGATCGTTCCGAATTTGACTCTCAAGAATAATTGTTTGTTATGTAAATAGTGGATCTGTGCATTGTGGATTTGTGGTCTTCTGCGAAATGTGTGTGTATGAAATGAAAGAAGTTGTAATCCTTAACATTTTTGTTGAGATTGTCTAATCATTGAATTACGAATAAGTTTTTGTGATAATGTTCGTGTTTGTGTTTTGGAAATTTATAAAAATTTTCTTTACTTTAGGCAGTTTTCAAATCGAACATTTAATAGAAAACTGTTTTAATTTTTATGTTGTTGTATTGCAGTACCTCCCAGTCTTTTTTCCTGACTTCGTATTCCAGATCCCATTTCTGACCTTCACACATATACATACGATCGAAATATTCTTCACAAATCTCTTGTAATTCGCCTGTAAATATGTGCATATTTTTTTAATTTTTTTGAATTATTTTTACAAATAATGTTTTACTGAAATCTACGATTTCTAAATAATTTTTTTTTTACATATAATTGTTGTTTGGTATTTATATGAGTATAAATTCATATAAAATCGATTTCTCGCGTTTTTTAGATATGTTATGTGTTCAAAAGTGAAATTGTTTAGAATGTTTCATAGCATTACAAGTTACTATGTATGGACATACAAAAAATGTATGTATATATATAACTTATTTTCTATATTATATAAATTCATTTATTCTTTAAATTTTTAAATAAATTCAAAAGCTTAAAGAAAGCTATACAAAAATCAAAATTTTCATAATTTAGAAAGTTTTTTTATATAGTAATATTATAATGATCATTTTTTGGGAAACCTTCTATTGCTTGGGATTTAAATGGTAAGGAAAATCAAAAAATTTAATATTAGACTAAAAAATAATTAAAATTAGAATAAAATTTTAATACAGCAAACTTAGTACTTTTTATTCATAGCAATTTTTGCATATTTGCTGTAAGCATTTACCTCCAACGCCCTTATTTTCAGGGCATATTCTAAATCAAATTTGTCCCCCTCCAAATTGTAAAGACGTTGCCAATATTGTTTACAAAGTGTTTGAAGTTCAGCTAATCGTAACAACAATTAGGGTTTGTAAGAACGATACGTTTGATTATTGATCGATTGTTTCATTGATGAATTTATTGAATAAAGTTTAGTTTATTGTATATTTTTAAGTGAACATTATACGCACGCCATTAATTTTATTTCGCGGTTCCGCATACGAGAGGATATATATTAATAATGAAATGCATATATTAAAAAAAAATTTGATTAACAATATTTCAAAAATAACATATTAAAAAGTAATTGAAAATTGTATATAAAGTTTATTTCATATACTTTGTCTCAATTTTCAATAATCATTATGAAAAGAGATGTAAAGTAATTGTTAATGAGATGTATTTTGTGTATTGTATGATATATTTTCACCTAATTAATTAATGGATTGGATATGAATACTGTAATTTGTACAGTACAGAACGATGAAAAAATATTTAAAATATTAAACAACTAAATTTGATAGTTAAAATGTAAGACATAACGTATGAACGATTAATTTGCAAAAAGTTGTCGAAACGTTTTTCATTTCGATGTTATTTCGCTCGTATCACCTTTAACTAATTTTGGAATTTTCCAGCGTCATATTTGAATAGTGTCTTTGCAAAAAGAAACAACGAATTGTATCTTAACTTAATTGTATGTTTTTATAACCAATGTTATTTAGTAAAAGCTTTCAAAAATCAAAATTTTAGCTTCTACGTTTTTAAAGTATTTTATTTTAATGTAAGTTATTTGTATATTTTATTTAGGGAAATTTATTACTAACAATTTATTTAAGTTAAAATAGTTAAAATTAAGCAAAAATTAATTAAATACATTAATTAATTCTTTCAATTCTCAAAAAAATCAAAAATATTTTGTTAAACTTGTTAATAAATATTATTTTAGCAAAAAGCCATTGGAATGATTTAAAATCACACAAATTATGCTTTCATTTGTATATAATTGACTATTGTGAATAAACTTTTGTGTGCATTCAAAATAATGCCAAAAATGTATGATTATTTTATTTAATTTTTTGAAATATATTTGATTGAGTAATTAATAAAATCAAAGCTTTATAGTAATATTATTTTAAATGAAAACATATTTTGGCACTTTATTTTACATCCACAACTCTACTTTGTAAAACATTTTACTTATTTTGCAAATTGTTATCTACACTATACCATTTATAACCCAAAATCATACAAAACTACTTTGTTAAAAAGTACGTATACTAATGCTTCCGAAGAATTTGAGTTCTTTGAAGTTACATTAGAACTTGTTAAATACTTCGACAGTTTTTCAAGCCAAACATAAAGATTGTTTAGAAGAGAAATAAACAAAATTTTTCATATACATAGTTTAAAATTGCAGTTAACTGCTGCAGCTGAGAAGCCTTTAATTTGAAAGGTTTTTTTTTCTACTTTTACTTTTAAATTACATTAGAATTAGACAAATAGAAACGAATATTATTAAATTTTTTATAAAAATAAATTGTTTGGCTTTTTATTTGATTAGTTTTGCTTGCCTCTAAGTCCTTGCGGGCGACTTCATATTCAAGATCATATTTTTGATTTTCCAATTTGAGAATCTTTGAGTAATAATCCTGACATATTTTATTTAAGGTATCTGCGGGTTAAGAGTGTAATAAATATAAAAAATACGAGTAGGTTTGAAATTATTTTTGGCAAAGTGTCAACAAAAATCAAAAATACAATTGACACTATTTTAAAATAACTGTTTTTTTTTCGATAATTATGTAAAACCTGTGCTAAAAATTATATATGTGTGTGTTCGTGTGATTTAAAGGCATATATATAATGCTTATCGTAGTGTTTGTGAAAGGTGTGGTGAGAAAGATAAATTTTAATTGGGTTGTTCAAAGTATATATTAAGTGAGTATTCGTATATCTTCAAATTTAGTTTGAGAAATAAAAAACATATTTTCATAAATTCACATATGTGAAATTAACAATTTCTTTCCTAATAATGTGTACTGAAAGTTTAATATACATAAATAAATTACCATTAATTTTTCATCTCGAAGAGCAGAGTTGTTTGTAAGGTTTTTAGTTCAGTTGCGTTGCATTAGAGTATAAAATATTATTTATTTATTATTACTCATTATGTAGTAGTTAATCTTTATACACTTTTGTTGGATAATTTGTAGCAATAATTTCTTAGATGAGTGCACGTAAGGCTAATTGTAATCATATAAATCAACTTTAAAGTATTCAAAATCGTAAAATTTTTGATTTTTCAAAGTCAATTCGTATGATTTTTATTGATATTAACATTTAAACTCTTTTATAAAAAATAATTAAATTCTGATGTGCCTTTCTTGCATATCCAATTTCTTTAATATAAATTTAATTATTAGAAAGTATTTGATTACAATATCGAAAGGATAACAAAACATATGTATGTAAGCTCTATTGAACCGGTAAAGTTTAAAATTACAATAGTTTGTCAAGTTCACTGACGTTAAAATTTTAATATTAAACGAAGCAACTGAATGATCATATAACATTTTAGCTACCTAATAATTGTTATCAACTTCTGTTTTTTTATCTTTGTTATATGTTATAGTATTGGCTATATATCAAAACTTACTATACTACAAGAATTAAGAAACTTAGAGTTAAGAAAACATAAATAGTTCTTCATTAACTCTGATGCCGCATCGTGCATTAACATTTCAATACCCTATAATTATACATTTGGTTAAAAAGAAAACAATTTCAACTCCTTGAAAACGTGCCACAAATTATCCAAAATTATTAATATTATTCATGTTGATTAGAATTTTTTTTTTGTTTGCATTATGCGTTGAGTTAAAGTTCATAAATTTGGAAAAATATATAATTACATATTTATACGTGTTTTGGAAGTGACGGTTAAAAAGAAATTAAAATCTTGAAGAAGTGAGTTAAGTAAAGAAATTCAGTAAGAATGTAAAGAAAGAGAGTATAGCCGTGGTGTTTTTTTCTTTGTTAAGCTTAAAGGCTTTATTTTGGTTTTGATTTCATAACATTTGCCCAATGAAGAAAGTGACATCTCACGGAGTGTACCGGCAAAAAAAATATGTGTTGAAGTTCATATATATGTATATGTCTATATAAGCGTTACTTTCTTCATTGGCAAATTGAAAACAAAAATAAGTTTACGCTTTTTTAAGTCTTTGTGTGTACCTCAACATCCTTGCGCTTAACAACATATTCAAGATCATATTTCTGGTCCTCCAATTTATTAATCCTGTCATAGTGTTGCTTGATAAGGTTTTTAAGTGTTTCTGTTGATTGTATTGAAGAGTTTAATGGTCAAAATTAAATATTTTTGTTTTTATTTTGTACGCTTGCTTAAAAAAGTTCTGCTTAAAAAATACTCAAGAATTTTTTTAAAACAATTACGATATATCTATATATAGAAATATATATATAAAATCGACGAATAATTATTTATATATATCAAGTGTATATATAATGAATGTGACTGTGTTTGCTTTTGTATGTGTATGTGTAATGAATTGATTTTTATACAAAATATAGCTGTAATATTCTATTAAACTTTTTAACAATTTATTAGAGATGCGTGTATTATATTCAAATATAAACAAAATTTTACCTTCGCTAGCGTCACTGAGATTCCTGGGACTACCGCAACGTTCTTCTATGATACGTCTACGTTCAGCGGCTTTGCGTTCTTGTTCTTTCTTCAATTCTTCAGCGGCTTTTTTGCGAAGCAACAACTATAACATGATACTAACTATTGTAGGTCTATATATGAATAATAAGACTTTTTAAAAACTTACCCTAAGTTTCTTCTTCCTTTCTGGTGTCATGAAACCTTTCTTGGCTTTTTTGGCTTTCGAAGCTTCTTCCATACGCTTGCGTACTTCAGCACGCTTGCGTTCAATTTCAGCTTGTTTAGCCTTCTTTGCCTACGAAAGTGTAAGTGAAAATTCGCTGATATTATTTTTTGATTTTAAGTGTTTTAATAACACAGTTTTTGAATAACAACATATGAGAACACTGAAGACTTGCACTTAGTAATATATGTATTGTAAACATCCAACAGACAGCACATTATTTATAACTTTATTCAGTGAATACATTTAATAGAAGTTTATACTGACAGGACTAATTAAGGAAAACATCTCCGCACATAGACTGTCAGTTGGTATATGTAGCTACCTCTTCAGCAGGTGTAGCTGCCTTGCCATTTGCTGCAAGCTTACCGTTTGCAGCTGGTTTACCATTTGGGGTTGCAGGTGCTGCCGCCGCTGGTGCTGCTGCCGGTACTGGTGCTGCTGCCGGTGCTTGTGCTACTGCCGGTGCTTTTGCCGGTGCCGCAGCTGGAGCTGCTGCTTTTTTCTATAAATAAAAAAAATATTATTAATAATTGAAAAACATTTAATTTCACTAAAATAATAAGCTGTAATCTTTAGAAGAGTAGTACCATGATTAGAATAGTATTACGCTTCATAGCATACGGATTAATTGCTGCTTAAGTTAAGATAATTTTTTCATGTTAGTTTAATTTTTAAGCCGTTCAAAGACAATATGCGAAAGGCAATATTTTTAAATTAAATTTATTGCTTTTATATATTCACCTTCAAATCATCCTCATATTTGTGAAAGTAATTCTTTAAATAAACAAATTTTACTGCACCAAAACATGAAAAAAAGAGACCGATTATTATTTGGTTAACTTTCAAATCATATAGAAAAAAATTGAACAAATTCTTACCTTACCTCGTCATCAGCCATGTTGAATTTGTGTTTTTTTAGTTACTGAAATATAAAATAATTATAAAATTGTTATAAAAATTTTTTAAAAGCCATTAAAATATAAATTCTATTGACAAAGATATGCGTAGTTTTTTAATGGTATCACAATCAATCTTACTAAATCCCAATTTCTCAAAATTGCCTCCCTAATTAACTTAACGTATAATTCTATTAACTCCCTTAGAACATATTCAATGTCGAATTATGTGAAATAATGGATTTTACCTAATACTATACTTAATATATACCTAATATAATGTACTTATATTAAACATTTTTTAGTTTGCTTCTCGCAATACCACGATATTCAATTATATTATTTAATTCTAATCAGATAAAGTTAATTTAAGAGTTATTTTAAAATAGTTGAGAATTTTTTTTGTCAAAATTAACACTACTTTAAATTTAGTTATAGAAAATATTAAAAATGTATCTATTAACAGAAAAAAATCATTTAGATGAAAAATATTTCTTGAACCCTTGTAAATGTATTCAAATAAGTAATAAATAAAATTAAACAGTTTTAACATACAAACTATATTATATATATTGTAAGTACCATGTACTATATATGTAATAAAAAGTAATGAGACTGTATATTCTTTAGGTGTACCCTATCCGCTATAATTGCCAATTTCGAATAATATGAAAGCAATGTTTAAACAGTAAAACATAGATCATTTAATAATATCAAGGAAAAGGTTGATATCAACTTCAAGTTCAATCATTTTGGTTACAATAAAAGACCTTATTTTTTAAGACATCATAGATGCAAACCTTCCATCGAATTTTTGTTTTCTAAAAAAAATCTTTTAAAACTATATTTTAAAAGAAACATATGCAAATATGCTACATCACAATCATGAGAATAGAATTTTCCAAAATTGCGTATGTGGTATGAATATAAAAAAAAACTATAAAAAGAAAACTGAAACATTAAAAAACATTTTGTAAAATACAAAACCTGATGGATTCGCCGTATATGGATACTACGAATTCAAAAGCATTTAATGATCTTCGAGAAGAGTAAAATAAATTTTCTGCTTGTGTTGAGAGCAACTACGCATGCATTAAACATTATAAGTTTCGTGTGCTTACGAACTCATACTCATTCAAACATTTATTGATGAAAAACTGAAGTGAGTGGGTGAATTTGTGAGTGGGCAATTGCAATCTCTCGAACGTCAGCAGGAAAGAGATCAATATACATTATATACACACGACACTAAATAAGCAAGTTTGTGTATGTATAGAAAAGCTTTTTTTCAAATAATGCGATATCCGATTTCACCATGTGTAGTTGTTTTTGCTTTCAAAGCTGGAAAAGTAAGCACATATATACAAAAAATTGTTTGAAAAGTTTTAACAGATCTCTTATGCAAATAATAATTTAAAAAATATAATATTTGGGAAATAGTATTGATTCTCATATACTTATACTCTTATACTTATTTAACAATGTTTGTTATGATTAGCGTTATAAGCTTTTAATTGATATTGAATTAATAAATTTTTTTATATTACTAATGTAATAATTTATTTAATAATATTATTAAAACTCTAGCTTTTCATATATTGATAAATCATATATGTAAACAAATTGCTATAAATGAAATTTGTAAAAACAAAACACTTAATTTTCTAAAAAAAATATGTTTGTATATATATATATATATATATATATATACATTCAGTGGTTTGTACTTTTATAATAGCGAATATTCGAGAATTCTTATTATTACAATCATTCTAAAATGTTACAAAAATTAATAAGAAAATATTTTGACGTTGTTTTCTACAAAGTAATATAATTTTATTTAAAAAGAAATATCAAATTTTGCGCACCAAGCCAACGAAAGTAGTCTTATAAATAGATTTATCTATCAAAATGATTTTTATCTCTTTCTTATATTTACGTCTTTTCTTTTAAATCGAAATATTTTGAAATATATTTTGCAATTATATGTTGTTTTAATAACATTTAATAGAAAAACTAAAATGTACTACGACTGCTTCATTATAATGAAATATTTTTTATTAAGTAGGATTAGAATGATTTAAAAATAGATTTATTTTTCATTAATATACTCAGAGATATAATTAAATAATTTCTTGATTGGTTCCTAAATTTTTCTAATAATAACAGAAATATTCCTAAGCAGTTGCTATAACAGTGAAGTATAAATACTGGTGCAAGTATAGTTAACTCAATCATTGTATTATATGGTTTTTTTTTTTTTTTTAACCAGGTCAAGGTAACATAATTTGTATCTTAAACAATTAAATATGTTCAAGATTTTTATAATATACATAGAAATATATACTTCATTTAGTTTCATTTACTTCAGAAAAAAAGATTTCTTTTAAATTTTAGCTAAATTACTTGTTTGTAGAGAAAAGTTCTATTTTCGTTATTCATTGTATTTTTATTCTTTCATTAAAAAATATCAAATATTTATGTTCTCAATATATTTTCACACATTTTAATGCAATGCTCCCCATAACAAAGTGTGCGTATTTAACACATACATTCATTATACATAGTTATTTAAATTCTGTATACATCGAAGATCACATCGTATATTATATAGTATTTGTATTTTTATTTAATCAAATTTTAATCCTTCAAAAAAAAATCAATTTTCAAAGCTTACATAATATTTTTAATTTATTTTTCCGTTATAAATTGTAATACAATTTTAAAATATTTAATTTTTATTTTTTTCTCACAATTGTATTTTTTAACACTTTACACTTTTTTCCCTTTTAAGAATAATTTAATTGATTGAAATTTATTTATATTTTTTATTTGAAATTCTTTTTTTAATATATTATTTAATATATAGTTATTTGATTTTACAATCATTTGTAATCCAACACATAATATAATTCTAAATGTAATTTTTTTTACGAAGTTATTAAAAATTGTTATAGAATTTTCCAGCTCCTTCACCTCACACTCACCTTTAAGGAATTTAAAAAAGGTGTGCGAACGACCACACTACTCGAAAAGCAATGCTCGGAACAAACAGACTGAACGGTCCGACGATCTACGGCAGACTATATTCTTGCCAATTGCCTCAAAAGATCACTTTTCGTTTGATATCCGTGGGCAGCAGCAACGGCTACGACAGCCAGAAGGAATCTTCTACGGCGAGTTTACCTTTACTCTTCGTGCTCATTGGCAAAGGTTTCTCTCAGCAAAGCTCTCAAGCAGTCGAAATAGACTAAATGTTTCATAATTACTACAACCTGTGAATATTCAGCGTATCAGCCCACTGTACCCACAATAAAGTGTGTATCACACAAAGTATATAACAGTGGTCGGATTTTAACGAAAAATTTCTGCATTTCGTTATTAAATCTCATGAACACATTTTGAAACATTATGTATCTGGGCAAGTCGGCTAAAAATAACTCTCAAACAGAAATAGACACCGCACATCGAAATACTACAGAATTGAAAATTTATAGCAAAAGTTGTTAAAACTCGTCATTGCACGATTTTTGAAGTAAATATGCTGCTAAAGAAGAAAAATAGAAAATCACTTTTATCCCCATAAGACGACTGTGCATTGCAAAAAACTACTACTAGCAACCAATAATTTTTCAAATAGTCATAACATATAACAATTTTACACTGAAAAATTATAATTTAAGTGCATCTCAGAATCGTAAAGACCCATAATTATACATATATATTATTAATAAAATAATATAGGTGCACTTAGCACGTCATTGAAGAAAATAGAAAATCCCTAATAAGAAAGCATTACGGTTGCCAACGCGTTGAGTTACTTTTAAAAGACTTGTCTTTTAAGAATTTCCGAATTGTTAATTTAATTTGACAAAAAAATGTCTGAAAAGATTAATAACTGTAAAAAAAAAACTGAGTAAATTGAAATCATTATAAAACATTAGGTTAAACATTCCAAAAGAGTATTATTTATAAATGATGTCGTGAAAAGAAATAGTTTATAGTGAAGGTTGTAAGGTGGCCTGGTAAAGTATAATCATTTGTGACAATTTCTAAATATGTTGCTGCCGACCTAATTTACTAGACTTGTAATATAAACCTAAAAATTAATTTTTATATTTCGAAATTGTTTACAAAGTAGTACTTAACTAAAAAAAATGTATTATAATAAAAAATGTGATATAATTTATTAACAGCCCATAATTGCATGAACTTAAAATATGCAAAATATGAATAAAAAAATAGTTGAAATTTTTATTTATATAAATTTAAATATAAATATTTATTATAATCATTTCTTAATACTTTATTTTTTTTAAAAGCATAAATTTCTTTCAGAATACTGAAATTATCTGCAAACTCTTCCCCACAAGGCAGTTTCTGGCCACGGATTTGATTTTATTGATTAATATATGTATACATGTATATTAATTATAAATTATTGAAGTCATTCTTGTAATATATCGTAAGGCTCATACAATTTCAAGGGGTTCAGTGAATAAATTCAGCGCACATCTGTATGTACTATGAAAAAATTAACTAGATGCATTTTATGTACGTCTACAGTTAGAGCACACATCAATAAAAGACAGGTCACTTGATAATCCACTAGTTAATATGTGGTTAACCTCAGGCCACAACAGTTAAATTATGGCCTATTATCTGTTTTGACTTTTCTAACATTTTTCATAGCGCAATTTGATCTATTTTTTCAGTTCGTATTGGAAATAACACGTTTCATTACTAATTACAATGACTGACATGCTTATAAATCTACTTTAAAACATTTTTAACAGGTCTTTGTAATGCAAAACTATCCGATTTTATTGGTTGTCATCAGAGAATCTGACAAACCTTCCGTTTGATCAAAACTTTAATTCTTTGATTTGCTATGCTCTTCGGTATCCTAACTTACTCATAAATGAGTCTCGCAGACTCATACCGTTCGCTTCGTAGTATTTTTTTTTACTTACTTAATTTTTTTTAGTTGAGCTTTAGTTGGTTAGTTTTTGATCAACTAGTTTTTATTATGTTGAAGCTGTTTTGAGCTAGTGCACTTAAGCATTTATACTCTTTTTTAACTCGAGGTTTCTTCAAAATCCCTCTCTACACCTTCACTAGATTATTGTTTATCACTTCATCAGACTAAGCAATAAATAACCTCAGATCTGCATAACTCCCCGAGGAGCCTGTAACCATTCTGAGATTTGATAACGCGGTGTTGGTAAATCTGTCAGATTTCGCAAATAATTTCAGGGCTCTATCCTGTATGTATTTTTTGATGGGATCAATTTTGATGTCCCTGAGGATGTCATTCGTCCTAATGTACCATGGAACTTTAAAAAGTCTTTTCAGAGCCTGGCTTTGTGCAATTTCTAGCTGGTGAATAGTAGTAGAAGTGATGGACGAATTATTTGGTTATATATCAGTTTCCTGTTCTTAGCATTGAGATTTTCATTTCTAAATAGCGGTTAGAGGTAATGAAGAATTTTGGCACAGCTAATTCTTTTCAGTTGAACATGTTTAAGCCATGTGAATCGTTTGTCCAACGCGATGTCGAGATATTTAACGCTGTCCTCCCAGATATGGTGATAACCATATCACCCACTCTCACTCTCGATGGATTCTGTCTCCACTTACGCATTATAAACAGAGCCTTAGTTTTTTCATTATTGATTTTTATTTTCCATTTCTGAAAATACTCCAGAATGAGGTTTATATGCTCTTGAAGTGTGTGTGTATTTGTTACATGTTCTTTCGATATATACAAACTGCCATTACTTGAGTTGTCAAGATCAAAGTAAAATGTCAAGCGAATTCATTCAAAGTATATGTCATTTACATACCACCATTCACTCTAAGATATCACTGCGCTAAGATACCAGTATCATCGAATATTAAATAGTTTGCTTCAATCTGCATTTAAGCTTCAGCACCCTGTACGGAAAATGAGATCTTACGTAGGCGAAAAATAGAAAAACATTTTAATATTAGTGAACTAACTAGGAAAACAATTGACAAAGCATTATAAAGACGTAAGACCGATTATTTCAGAAAATAAATAAAAATATGTTGAGTAAAAAAAATTGCAAAAAATAATTTGAAAAAAATTAGTAAAAAGTTTGTTCGTAGGTGTATCAAGACTTTTGTACTCTATAAAAAATGTTTGGCAATTAACATTGTTTAGAGAATTAAAAAATAAAACTTTCCTCCTAAGGAGATGCCTTCGATTTCTATTTCAATTTTCACATCCTGAAAGATTGAAAACTGTTTATTTCTCAGACTATACATGTTATTATACGTAACAATGAGGAAAATATTTTGATGGTTCTTAAAAGCCAGATAATTAGTCGAACGATATGTTCATATATGAATAGCATTGATAAATTTATTATTGTCTGCAAATTTAAAAATTCTTAATTCTTTTGAGTTTTAGGTTCTTCAAAAAAAGAAAAACATTTTTGATTCTTTTAAAAGCAATATTTAAAGCAATGTTTAATAATTCCACACACAATTTTTTAAAACTTTTAAATTTTATGAAAAAAACCATTTAAAATTGAAATAAAATAAACAAAATAATTTATCATTACAATATGCTTCATTATAATAAAAGCTTATATATTTCTGGTAAAATAAAAGTATTTAATTATAAAATAAAAATTGCAAACTCCTTTATTTTATATTTTAAATCAATTATTTAGTGAATATATATTTAAATTTTAAGAATAGTATGTAACAGATAACTCAGATATAAATTATAAAATGACTGCATACGTCATACTTGCCTTGTAAATCAAAATTAAATTGTGTTTTTTTTATATTTGCTATAAGCTTTAAACTGCACACACACATCCACCAGAAAAATAACTATTTATTCTCTTCCTTTACTCTACCACTCACATACGTCATACTCTGAATTTTTCTAAAACATTTCATAGTAACTGCATGTGAATAAGGCACCTCTGCTCGGTGACCTATTTTTGATTTAATAAAAGTTTTAAATACTGTTGTTGTGCGAAACTTTAACTTCAGTTCGAGCATGACGTCATTAATTGAACACCCTTAGCTGCATCAATAGCATCAACTACAATCAGAAATTAATTATATAAAAAAAAAAATTAAATATAATAAAAATAGTTTTTTTTTCACCTATAAATTTGTAATATTACAGATACATAAATCGCAAATAATTGTTAAGTAATGGCATTCATACGGAAGGCTCCTTTTTCTTTGTAATTCTATATTAAGAAATTATTCTTCATTCATTTATTTAATAATTTTTTATTGCTAATTTTTAACGTAAATAAGGTTTTTGGCTTTAAATATATATACATTGTTAACGGTTAGAGAAATTGGGTCAACGTAATCACTACGTGCAACCGTATACACCCTGCTTTCCTTAGTGCAGGTTTTACGTCATATCTTGTGCATCTTCGCAACACCAGCAACAGCATTGGAGCAACATCACTCAATAACCGATTGCGGCCGACACCAAGTGACGTTATAATTGTCTATGTATAGTCACATAAGCCCGTCGTCACATACTGAAGGATGAAGCTGCATTCAAATCAAAATATTATAAACAACATCCTTGTTATCACAATATTATAATTATCATTGCATGAATTCTGATGAGGACCCACGCACAAGGTTAACTCATTCTAAAGTGGTCTATACATAGACTGCAGTTTAAGATTGAAATTACGTATGTGAATGACAGCATCAAACTGCGAAGATAAATTGGTTATATTTAAATAACGATAATTAGATATCTATTTCAATTCACTAAAAATCTTTTTTATTTCAGGTAACATTGAAAAGAGTTTTATTTTAATTGTTGACGTTTTACAGTTCATGATGTAAGGGTTTCTTGACATATGTAGTAGATACATAAAAGCTCCCAGTAGGCGGAGCACAACAAAGAAAAGATATTTTATGGTACTTTATTATATACGTATAAGCTAATAACAAAAAAATTAAACAATTTATATTTGAAAAATCCTGAACATTATTTGAATTGGCTTGCGAATTGAATTCATATCAACTACGAATTAAGCAATCATTATTCAACTTCAAATGTTAAAGTTTCAGCATAGAGAAATGAATAA